CGCCGCCCACCGCCTCACCAGGGGAACGCGGCCATCTTGCGCCCATCACATGACGCCGCGGGTGGGCGGCGCCTTCCGCCGCCATTTCCCGCCCCGCCCCTCAGAGCGGGGAGCGCCTGGAAAAGGACGAGGAAGGCAGTTCTTGTTAAAGATTCAAAGTTTATTGTGCAGAATGCTTTAAGTAAAAAGCAAGACTGGTGAAAAACGAAATAAAAGTATAAAAATAAATAGACTTTTGTAATGGTATCACAATTTCACAGAAAATAAAAAGATAAATATGTATAAATACAAAACATCAAGTACAAAAACAAAGTCTGGCACTTGCCAAGAGAAAGGCCTCATGAAAGTTAAAAAAAAAAAAAAAAACAACCTTGTGCTACAGTGCTCTATTACACAGTGGAAGCATGCTTAAAGACAAAGAAGTTTAGATGTGAAACCCAAGCAGAAAGCAAACATTCCTTTCTACTAACACACTAAACCTATTTGTGCATCAACATAGTGCCTATGCTAATAATAAATACACCACATAAAACATTCTTTGAAACCATCAATCCTATATCAACAGCACCTTTTGTCCCCTATGACACAGGTTACTCTCGCCATTGTTAATTTTCCCCTGTTGCGATGGATTTCACTCCTAAGGAAAGCTGAGAACCAAAACAGGGCTGTGATGCCCACTGGGTGAGCAGGAAGCTTGCCTTGGGCATTTTCTGTACTACAACTGAGATTTTAAAGCACCACAGCATTTGAAGGAAGGAGGCAGGTCCTACACTGGTAAAAAATTAAAATTTACACCATTAGGGGAACCTCCTGCCCCAGGCTTTCAAATAAATGCCACAGCAGAGAGCCACTGAGCAGTGTCATTCTTCAAAGTGCTTGGGCAGCATTTTTGCCATTTTCCAAGTACACAATTTGGGTAACTTACTGCATGGTATAACACACCTGTTTTGAACAATGTCACTGTCTGCAGAGGACAGACTTGGTGGCAGATAAAAGCTATAACTGGTGCCACAAGCAAGCCAATCACTCATCACTGCTCATGAAGGTACTGTCCTCGTCTCACCATTAATGTTCCTCTTTCATGCTGACTATTTAACACAATGAAATTTTCAGTCTTTTTTCTCTTATATCCATGTCAACACATTACAAAGCCTCCAAAGTTACTATGTTATATCAACACTGGGAAATAACAAAATATAACCTATTTCACATTCCGGCAGTCAGTTCTCTACTGCTGAGGTTACACAAGCACAGCTTTTCTCTCTAAAACTTTGTCAACCTCATGTCTCAAGTTCATTAAAAGCAGGTATAGAATTATGCTCCCCTCAAGTTGATGGATAACATCCATCAGTTGGAAGACTGAGGTAAAACATGAGCATGATCATTTAATGTTAGATATTCATAAATATGAAAGATTTCGTTGGGATTTGGTAGGGATTCCCCATTCCCCCAAATCATGAATTCAGCACAAGGGCCTGTTAGATCACGGTAGAAGAGAAATTGCTTAGGAAAAATTGCAACTGTCATCAATGAAATGTAACATATCCAAATTACTATTACGGACTGAAATTACTATTTAAGTCTGAAACAGTAAAACAATTAAAATCTTGCCTTCTTGAATTTTCGTAGAACATACAGGTCTCCATCGTGGCCAAATGTTGTTTCCATCAGAAAATGCAGTAGACATCAGGGTAAAAAAATCCCAGGACTCTTGGTGGTGGTGATTTGATCTATCACAAGTATAAATGCACAGTTTTGGTTTAGTCAATGAAGTAGGTCCATCTGCCCAGCACTGAATCTGGATCCATGTCTGTCCAGCTTCGCAGAAATGCAAAACATTTTAGGTCATTAGTACTGCAATTGAAGTAAATCTCATTCATACAGAAAGTACATTCAAAACGGCTGGGGACAAATTCACTGATGTGAGAGTTCAGTTCTAAGTTTGGAGGTTTTTTTCCCATTTAGTTGCTTTAACTTTATGGTACGAAACTAAATATATACCCATGACTTACTTGTGGTAGCAATCATACACAGAAATTGCAATTTTAAGTAATGCAAAAGCACATATCAGACACAAGAATTAGAAAGTGTGAAAAAGTCACAAATTACCTTCATGCTGCCCTGTGGTCATCTTTAAATAAACAAGACTATAAATGTGTACACACTAGTATTAACATATAATAAGTTCTAACATGCAATTTTTCCACAAGTATTAGAACTTCAAAGTCCTTTATTACTTCAATATGATTGTATTAATGTGTCATCTGAAAATGACAAAGTAGGTTTATAATTTCTAAATATACATATACGTAAAGAAGATGCAATATTTAAAATCAGTGCTGAGAATGCCATCAGTAAAAAACAGACAGTTTATCCCAGTGAGTGCTGTCTTCTTAAATTGTCACAACATTTGGCTTCTTTCTTTGGGTTCTTCCTGCATATGCTCCTAAAAATAAGCAGAAACATTACCATTTTACAATTAATAGTGCTGGATTTTGTAAGAGGATTATCAAAAGAAAATAGCTGAAAAAGTTTAGGAAAATTTTTTTAAAGCAGTAGTATGTATACAGTGATTACTTTTAAAATATTATTACATAATATTACACCCAAAATGCCTTAGAAAAACCACCTATAGTTTTGAAAGTTATGACACTTTATAGCACTGCCTTCTGCAGTAACTATTCCAAAGTGTTTCCTGCTACTGTTAAAACATCTACAACTACAATTCGTACATTTTTAAAAGAACTGTCACATCACCAAGACAATAATTACATGGCTAATAAGTTTAACTATGCCAAGCACTACTTTTAAACAATCTATCAATTAAAAAAATATTATACAAATCAAATACTTAAGATAACTTTCCTTTTCCCCAGCTGCCACGTTAATTAAACCAAGAAACAGCTGTAGGTTTCCATATGTCAGTATGACAACCAGAATTAGAAGTGCAGTATGAACAAGGCCATCAGGCAGAGCCCTTATAAAAGGAAGGCTGCTCAAGTATAAAAATAATAATTAAGTCTTTACATGGGGAACAAGTATACACATACATATATTAAAAATCCACATTGTACTATGCATAGCACAAGTATCTTCCAGTAATAAGGGTTCAGCACTGCAAGCTGCTAAAAAGTAGCACAACTCAGCATTCAATAGGTTCAAGCAGTTACCCAGAGTGTGCAGCAGTGTGAGCAAACATTTACACACAGCAGTGAAAATTGTACCACAGGGTGCAGAGCGGTGGGAATGGAAGACAGCCATGGAAGAGAAATGACTACCAGGCAAGTAAATGAATGTGACAAAGAAGTGCCAGTCCTTTTCAGGCTCTTCAGTTACTCTTGGTCAGAGCTGCAGTGGTTACTTACAGGTGTCCAAGGGCTACAGTCAGCACAGGGCAAAGCAGCTTTGGAAACACCCAGAGACCTCACCACAGCAGGATCCCTCAACAGGTTCCCACCACACAAAAGGCATTCTCACCCGCCCAGCACTCTCCAGTGCTGGACTCTTCAGCTCACCTGTGATCTTGTAGGACAACCAAGCTGACAGGCATGGTGCTTTATCAGAGATTTAACACTACCCCTTAACTCGCCTCAAGAGAACTATATAAAAATCTCACACAAATAACAGGGTATTATGTAATAGTATATGGAAGTGCAAAAAAAGCCCAGCAATCCAGACTAAGGAACTGCAGAAGGCAAATTTCATTTAAAAAAGTGACAGTCTTTCTGAATACAATTATCACCCAACCTTTTCCAGTGGCAAGGGGCAATCACATGAGGCCTCTCTCTCCTGGGACAAAGGACAGACCTGCTATTCACACAGCAGGTCTGAGGCTTCCTGAAGTGCTGGCCTGAACACTGACACACCTCACAGCACACACCTCCTCACACTGCCCTGCTCAGCCGCACACACGTGCGGGAGAGACCACGCTTGGCCAACTGCTGCCACCACCCAAATACTCCACATGCCTCATGCCCTGTACTTCTTTTCCACAGAAGAAGAAACCAGGTAGAAACAGAGATGAACAGGTCTAGTTGTAGGAGCAACCTGATTTCAACTACCTTCTTTCTAACAAAATCAGACCCCATTAAATGTGCTGCCTGGCCCGGCTTGCAGGCAATAGACTGAACATCTTGGTCCTATTTAAACTAATTAAACTGAAAAAAAAAAATAATCAGTAAATAAGACTCTTCACTGATTCACAAGTTTGTACTTCTGCCTTTAGCACAGAACTTTGGATTGAAGGAGTAAAAAACAACAAAAACTGAATTTAGGATTGCCAGTTGATTCCTAAACAAAATGCCTTCTTGCCAGAAAAAGACAACAACCAGTCGCAGTGGTATTAAAGCTACAAAGCACTTTGCAGACAGAATTTACAACAACAATGAGGAGAACAAAGAAAAAAGTTGCATGAGTATATTATTATTTTCTTCAGAGCATTTGTCTCATGTCTAAGTTGAATATATTTATAGCAGCTGTATTCTACTAACCCTCCTTCCTTTTTTGCCCCTCTAATAAGCACAATTTAATTGGTAGTCATACTGCCAGACCTTTCACTATTCACATTTTACCCATCTATTAAGTGTTCCTTTAGAAATAGGTTAGATTACTTGTACTAAATGAATAGGAATGTGTAGTCCCTGTTCTTCAGTACTCTCAACTACTAGTTAATAGCATACAGTATTGCAAACTTGCAGATGAAAACTTGCCTTAGTGGCTACCTCTGGTTTCTAAAATTATATTGCTAACTTTATTTTCTTCTTTATATTTCAGGGAGATTTATTATTATCTTTGCTAATTTTTCTGCAGTGTCACTGAACACAACGGAACAACTGCCTTGCTCCACTTTAGTGGTGACAGCACTACCAGGAGAACTGACAGCAGAAAAATAAATTAAACCCTGGTTATCATCTCATTGTTTGCTATTTTATTTTCCCTTCTCTCTAAAATGTTAGATATATATATATATATATGCATACTGCCTTACTATACATCCTTCTGTAGCCACTTCTCTTGACTTCACGAAGTAGTATCTGGGAAAACATCACATTTGAACAGTGTAAAACACACTGCACTAAAACTTGCACATACTCCTTCCCAGCATTGTTCTGGGGCAGCAATGAATAAGAATTTCCCTTATAGGAAAGGTTTGATTCTTAATACATAAAGATAATTCAGATCACTATAGAAAACAGTCAAAATCCTACATTACACATTTGCCCCATTAAGCCCCAAAATTCCCAATTTTTATACTTGCCTTGTGGAGAGTATAAAACCCTATATATTACATATATTTATATTCTCTTTTGAGAAAAAATGTGTAATCCAGATCTTAAACAGTTTTAAAACCTTTAAAACTTTACCTTTTGATCAACTGAGGTTTGTCACTTAAGAAATTTAAAATCTGATTAAAAAATAGAAACTGTGTATGATGTTTCACAGTGTTTTATTCCCTTCATGCCTGAACAGGCTGAAAACAGAGAGGTTCAGCACTATTATCAAATCTTTTTAATAAAAGGCAACCAATCAATCGTCTCCATATGCAAGCACAGGAATACTCTACTTTTAAACTCGGGTCATTAAGACTCAAACATCCTGCAAGATGCTACAGTAACATATATAATTTTAGGACTGTATCATGACTGAACACCCACTGATGAGTCTGGAATTGTCCTTCCTGCCCTTTCAACAGACGTGTCTACAGAACTAAGACTCAAATGACATGAGATTCTAATCCAAGTCTATTTGGCTACAATCAGTTTCTCAACAGTTACAGTGAATATGTCTGGCAACCTCTTTTTATGACTGGGCATCTGGTGAGTGAAAGCAAATGAGCTGTGCAGCACATTCTATATACTATGTTTATAGAATCTGGAAGTGGATGGTTAAGTTACCAGTCCGTGTTTGTTGAAGAGATAGGTTAGATTTAAGACATAGCAAAGCAGGTGCACAAGGAAAGGAAAACAATATATTGCCCATTTACTTTGTCTAGATACTAGTAACTTATGTACTATAAGATCCAAGCACCGATTTTCTACACACCTGAAACCGCCTTGTTAGACACTCTGCTCTCTGAGGCCTTCTTTCTATTTTGCTCAACCCCATTCACTGAGGTCTTAAAGGTTCTAATTAAATATAAAAGAGTTAATAAGTCACTTGCAACAAAGTTGAAAGGCTGTATATAAAAACATGAGACACTATCAAACTGTTTGTAAAAATGTTTCCATGCCAATGTCCCACAGAGCCTCCTCCTGAGTACATGTGCAGTTTCTATCAACATTATTATGTCTTATATTGATACATTAAGTAGGAAAACATCTCCCCATGAATGGATTTGTAAAACTCTATTCAAGAAACTGATTCCGTTCAGACACTGTGACCTTACAGTCAACATATAAAAATACACATATTTCATTAAGTGGAAGCAAAGCTTCATGGAATGAACGTTACAAATAGAAATGCTGGAACACAGTGTAAATGAAGACAAACACAAGAGGGTGACAACATTAAGTATTTTCTTGCAGTATAAGGTCAAACGAAGTTTCATTACTGTCTCAAATACTGGGAGAAGTAATTATTTTTACTTTGAACAACAGTTACACCAGCATGTGTAAATCTTATTGAGCAATCACTGTACTCTTGTGCTTGGCATTTAGTTTCATCCTTAGGCTATAAACACACTGTGCTCTTACCCTTGTCTGCAAAGCAATCTATGAACCGGGGCATTCTGTCCTTGGTTTGGTTGAAGTATGCTGTTAAAACACAAACCTTTATTAGTGCTTTTTCCCTTTAAAAATAAAAACCTCACAAGGAATACCAAATTATGCATCATGTTTCACACAACAAATTTCAGCAAGGCTAACAGGCTTTGCAAGGCACATGACGTGTAGGCAAAGTGGCTGGAATTAAAATTCCAGAACAGAATTCCTACTTCCACTATTTAAAACAAAGAAAGGGGAAAAAAAGTGCAGGTACAACTCCTTGAACAGTGCCTAGTCACTGATAAGGATATACAGGAAAAAAAGGACTGAGTCACACTAGTCACTGAAGACTGAACTTCATGAGTAGACAGCATTGCCTTCAAAGCTTTTGGGTAAACATGGGACAAAAATTGTTTTTAAGGGATGCCAGGTATCTGACTTTTTATACTAGAAAAAGGTGCAGATAGGTCTCATAGAGTAGTTGCTATCTTTCTGAACAGCATGTACTGAACACTAATTTCTGTGATCTAAGCAAACAATCACACAATCAAGGAGCAAGCACTTTCCTTGCAACAGAGATCCACTTCTTTCCTGACAGCTTCCTAAAGATAAGCATTATCAATGATTCACTGCAAAGTAAGGGTATTAGGAAAAGTAGTAGTGCCAAACTGAAGCTTAACAGTCTATCTCAAAGAAAAACCTTGAACCTGAGCACAGAGACTTAAAGCCATAAATAAATAATTTCTGAAGAGAAAATTTTAGAATTGACTCTGAAGAAAACAAATCTTTTTTAACAAGCTAATAAACACCTTTCTTAGGTCATGCTCAATCAGATTTCATTACTGCCCATCATAATAATACCAGGAATTGAGCTGATTGATGGCAAACCAGAAATACAGATCACAAAATCACAGTTTCTTAAAAGCATCCAAATACCAGTAACCATCACCCACCGGCTTTCAGGAGTTTTTTGTTTTATGATTATTTTTTTACTTGGTATTCCCATTTCTGAAGCCCTAGAGAAACAAAAGTATTGAAACATATTTCAATTAAAAATTCATCATCCAGGTCTTGAACAGAAACACTCAGAGAATGCCTACAACAGGAACTACACCTACATGTGTCAGAGCAGTACTACAGATTATCGCTTCTTTACTCAAGTGTAGGAGCAAGTGTAATACAACTGTTCAGCCCACTGTGTTGCAGGATAATGCCTGCTACCATTCCCCAAAAAACTCTGCTAGAGATACTCTATCAAGTATCTCTATTGCCAGGCACTTTAAACTGATAAAATCACTTGCAGCACTTTTTACAATTTGCAAATTCAACCACAAACTAAGCACCCACCACCGGAATCTAGCATAAATGCACTACTTAGAACAAATATTTTTCTCCTGTACAAACAAGAAGTCTCTTAAAAGTAAGAACAAAATACTACTAGCAAGACTCCAAACACCTGGACAGCTTCTTATTCATTGTTCCTAGGAGAGACGTTAGTTTGCAAAGCTGTTACTCCAGAAACTTCCTGTCACTATTTCCTATGTCTCCTACTCATCATTTTGCACCCTGCCTCCCTCCCCCCAATCCCAAGGGGAGAGCAGCACATACTTCATGTACTTCTTCCTGTCCAGAGATTTCTGTGTAGCTGTTGAAAGTGTCACTCGCTCTCTCGGGCTCTTCACTTTATCCTAAAAAAATAAATAAATAAATAAATAAATAGATATTGAAGAAAGTTACTTGCAAAAGCATAAACCATCTAGATCTAAAAAATATTTTAGGGTGCAAGTAAGAATCTCTTAAATGTAAAATGATTCAGACTCAAAGTCTTAAGACAGTTTACATCCTCTGGAACATAACACACCATTTGCCTGAGCATCTTCTCTTTCCGAACTTCACGATCGTGACGCAGAATATTCATCCTTTCTGATGCATCCATTGTAAAAAAGATGTCATGGATGTCATACAGAGCAGCTCGCAGCTGGAAAGAACAATTAAGATTTTAATAAAATATTTGGTTGAGGCAACATGCCCATGGTTTTGATCATTAAGCTCTTCTCAAACTAAGCAAAACTCTTTGTAATTTTGAAATCTCTCATTGTATCAGCACAAAAATTCTCTTCACAGCCATAGTTTAAAATTTTTTACTCTAAACAAAATCACTATCAAGGTTTTAGGTATTCATATTGCAAAAACACAATAGCTAGGAAAGGAAAAAAACGGTTTAAATTGTGTCACCTGAGCCATTACTCTTTCATGAAGGGATGCATCTTGTGCTGACACACTTCCCCTTTTCAACGGGGCTTCAGACTGAAAATTTTTTATGAACTCCACAGTATCCTGGGAAAGATGAGAAAATAAGATAAAGCACCAAGCATAATCCTTCACAACAAGGCAGTTATTACAAACAGTACACATAGGACATAAATTCTTTGTTTGACTTGGACCTAAGCAATGCAATACAAACATGTTCATGTAACAGACATTCCCCAATTCTTCTGAAAGTAGAAAATGCATGATTTCATCTGTCAATTGAAGACAGGAACAGAAACAAAGAGCAGGAGAGGCTGCATAATACCAAAAAGCTGATCTTACTTTTACAGTTTGCTTAAGATGTTTCAGTTTTTCTGTCTGCAGGAGTCTACGAGTGAGAAATCCCTTTGCCACAGCAGTGATCTTATCAAACTTCATTTGTATCTCTGGACTGAGAACCTTAAAAGAAAAATATTTTCTAAACTTTTGATTAAAAAAGCAAGAATTATGAATTATTTCTCAAATAACATCAATCACATGACAGAAGTTCTTAAGTAAGAAACAAGCTGTTAATAAAGTTTTGGCTGGGCCAAAAGTACCCACTGTAACTTAGAAGAAGCAACATATTTTTATATGATTATTTTGCATATGTGAATAAGAAAAATATTCTATACAGTTCTTTTATGTAATCAAAGCTGACATAGGAAAGGATACTAAAATTTTCTGCGACATTTATTACACAGTTATTATAGTTACCAGTCTCTTAGAAAAACATGAGGTTTTTTTAAGATTTATATCTTTTTTTTTTTTTCCTTACCTGAGACCACCTAGTTTTGATTCTATTAGTTGGCCTGGATACTGAGGTTTTTATGACTCCACTACCTGATGGTCCCCAGAGAAAGAATGAAGTTTCACTTGTCGAAGAAAAGGTGTTGGGTGTTGTATGAGCAAAACCTGCATGCAAAGCAGAACACAGAGTTCAACACACACTTCTGCCAATAAAGTAATGACTGTGTCTGTGTGTACACTCTGCTTGGGGGCAGCAGCTTTGCTGACAAGGTAAATTATAGGCAAGAAGCAACCTGAATATTTCTGTTCATTTCCATGCAAGATTTGCTAAACACGAGACAGAACAAAACACTTCATAATGTTCTGGAACAGGTGAGAGGTGCTCCACCAGCTACAGCTGCACTGTCTTGCAGTCAAGATCCCTTGACAGAGCCTCTCTAAACCATCTACACAAATGTGACCACCTGGCCCGCTGCTGTGCAGCTACATGGCACGGGAACGAACCTTCTGGGACGTGACACAAATCCACATCCCCATCCTTGATCAAAAGAGTTTATTCTTGGCTTGTTTTCCCTGAACATACCCTGAAACAGTTACATAACAAGTAAAGTACATGGAACAGTTTGAGGATGGTTGAATCTGTGCTAAATGCCAGTGACACAAAGACGCAACACAGACGTTGTTTCACGTGTGCTGTCCACAGCTGAGGGCAGCAGCTGTCTGTGCATCCTGACCAGCCCCGGGGCAGGAACACTGCACTTATCAGTACAGAGGGGCAGCTAGTCCAGTCAAGCACTGTAGAACAAAATATATCAAACACTTAATCTATATTCTTCCTTCCCAGTTTTACCAATGCTGGTGGAGTTTGTGTTATGGACTGTCTCCAGCTGAGACTGCACACTTTCCAGCAAGCCACTTTCGCTTTTTTTCCTCCACTCCAACTCCATTCTACTGTTAATATTCACTTTGGAAATCTCTATTTCCGTTGTAGTAACCTTCTTTCCTTTCAACTTTCTCTCCTGCTCTTCCAGTTCCTACAAAAGGAAGATTCAACCATTAGACTAATCTTCTAACTCTGCAAAGCAACAGAATACACATTTAAACCCAACTGTTTCCTGACAAACTTCCATACAACACACAACCTTTGCTTAGAATTTTTCCTTTCAACCTTACCTTCTGCAATTTCTCCTGTTCTCTCTCTTGTTCAGCTATCAGAATTGACAGTTGTTGTGCATGCTGTTCTTCAAGTCTCTTTCTCATTTCTTCAAAGGCCAACATTTTAGTTTTTAAAATATCTTCTGAAAAAATACATAACAAAAAATCAAATATTAAATAACTTCTATGTGGTCTTTGCCAGAGACACACACCCTTTATTGGAAGTAACTTGCATCATCAGTAAAAAATAAAGATGTCTTTGATATCAAGTTTCCTTGATACCAAATTTCCACTGGTAAGGTAAGGTAAAGAACCTCATAATTTACTACAGTCCTTCAAAATATTTGCATGGTCATATTGGTGGGCTAAGCACGTGAATGAAACAGCAGTAACACCAACTCAGCATATATTAAGGACACACAAAAACATAGCCCTAAGAATTGTTACAGTTACTTGAGTGAAATAAAATGATTTATGCCACTTCAGCTTGATTTGGTAGAGACATATACAGATGTAAGAGTCTTGAATTTGAAGAAAATACCTATATAGTGATTTCCAACCCATTAAAAGGTATTTTCTTTTAATTTACACAGGCTGTCTTTTCTTTTAGTAGTCTTATTAAGACCTCATGGAATAAGACAACTTCCTTAGCAAAACTAAATTCCAGTTCCTAGATTCAAATGGGAAATAAGTATTTGTGCTGTCAAATTATATTCTTGAGAATAAATACAGAATCCACAAAATTTATGCACAGTGTTTTAGCTGATGTTCCCTCGTAAATTGTTCAATCAAGTATTTGTTACAAATAACTGACTCCAAGATTACAGATTTCTGACTCCAAGCAGCTCCTAAGACAGCAATTACTCCACTCTGCAGCCATTAAAAAATGGCCCAAGCAACAAGCTGAATTTCAGAATTTGTCATTAAACATTAGAGAAATAATGAGGTTACTGAAAATAATTTACATGCACTACAATTTTAGCCTTTTAATATACATACATACTTAGAAACACTAATGACTAACAATCACTGGGGGTTTTTATAAAATATTTATAAACTGAGAAGTAAGCAGCACTGAGAAATAACCCTCAGCTACGGGAAATCTTTTACCTTTTGCCATACTTTCAGGGGTAATGTAAACTGATTCCACAGGATATTTCTGTTCTTGCAACCACTGCTTCTCTTGTTCTTCCACTCCAACTCTCAGAACACAGGAACTGGTTTCTGTTTGGCAGTTGTTGGTGTCCAGATCAAGTCTACGTTTTACCTTTTCAAAATTTTCTGGAACCTGCTCGTGTGCTGGGGTAACACTTGGAGTGTCCATCTGCTGTCGTGCATTCCTGCTCTGCATTAGCAGCGGAGACGGGTTTTCGACGTCGTAAGATTTATTGAGTTCCACCGTGGAATTAGATTTAGTGTTTTCTGGCAAAACAGGCGCTTTCACTTCATTCCCAGCTGGGATCTTCTGTGTTACTGCAGACTGACTGATGGCAAACGGCTCAGTCAGCTTTGGAGCGATGATATTAGTACTGGTCTCTACTCTGTATGGCCCTCTGCTGTCCAACACCACCTGTCCTTCCACCGTAGCCGACACCATTCCTTTGCTTTCCCAGAGCCCAAAGGAATGGCGATTCGGTTTGCCAACCCCCAACCCATCACAAGGGCCTGAAGAATTCCTGTTGACACCAGGAACTCTGCCAGGGCAAACCATGTTGAAGTCCACCATGAACTTTGGCACTGATTCGGACACGTTATTTTTATCTGCAATATCTTGCATGATTAAATCCATGGCTCTACCCTTGCCTTTAGGACTTAACTCGTAGGCATTCACAGGGTTATTTATAATGATGTGTCCCATTGATAAAGGTCTTGGGCGCCGTCGGTGCATTTTAGGGCTCATGCTTGGCTCTGGGCTTGGCAATTTGGCGTAGGAGCCTGTGAGGCTCCTGACAATGCTACTGTCACGCTCCAACATAGAATTCTTTTTAAATTCTTCGTCTGAATCTGAATCCACCAAAGGGGGCGTTCCAATTCTCATAGGTATGTCCACTTTAGAAAAACTGGATAAAGAGGACATACTTGTGTTATTTGTGTTTGTAGAGGCACCTTGGAGAAGGGTATTTGATTTATTAAGACTGGGTTTATCAAGCGTCTGAGCAGCGCAACTCCTGCCTGTAAGCTTTGCTCTTTCTTTCGCAGGGTCGGTGGTTTTAACGCCGTCATTTTCTTTATCTGAATGACTTTCACTCACGCTCCTCTTTGAACTGCCTTTTGAGGTACGCTTGCTTTGCTCTCTCTCTATGTACTCCCTGGATTTCTTTATCAGGTTCTGAAGACTCATCACACATGGATCTTGGACATCCTCATCCGACGGCGACCCCGCTCGTCCCTCCTGCTTTTGCAGAGCGTGTGATGTGAGCTTGTGACACAGCTTGTCAGGAGAGGCAGCCCTTGGACAAGGCACATCTTTCAAGAAGCGACTCTCACTTGGCTTTGAAGAAACATTTTCTTCTGTTGCTTTAACTACTTCTGTCACATGTGATGTCCTCTGCCCTGCAGTACCTGATGGTGCAAGTTCTGGTGCCTTTTCCAGGTCCGTGGAACCGTGTCTTTCAGGAGAACATGCCACACTGACATCTGATAGAGCTGTGAAGTCAGTCAAAGCTTTTGAATCTGAGTCAGGGCAAGAATTCTCAGCCTCCTGAGCATTCGCATCACTCATGTTAAGTCCTTTCTTCATCTACAAATTCAAATTGAAAAAGAAAAAATAACATTTTCAATGAAATCTCAGATTCCTGCAAACTTCACCTGAATTTAAAAAGGTAATAAAAATAAATGTAAAAAATATTAAAATAAATAATATCTTAAAACCAGTAAAAATTTTTAGTTGAACTGTTACTGATTTCCTACAAATTACACATAATACAGAGTTCTTTACAATGAGAAAGGGGTCATTGGAATTAAAATATAAATTTCAATGATGGTCCACCTGGAATTTTTACTGATACCAAGTACCTGAATACAAAGATGCTCTTATCTTTTTAAAGTAATTTGGATATATTTAATAATTTTATGCCTTCAAAATATCTTGCAAGATTTCTCTTAAAATGAGAAAACATGTTTACATCAAATAAGAAATGTAATTGAAAAATTTCAACAGGAAAAATAAACTAACCTAAGGACAACCACAAACAAATCAACATAATTCCTAATAAAAAGTGGACTAAAAAATAATTTTTTATTTCTTTACTAATCCAGAGACAACTAAATATTAGTTTTCATTTGCTGAGTACTTGAAAAACAAACTTTATTTAAGTAAGAATTACATGTTACTTCCAGCCAGCATTTGTTTAAAAAGATTTTCACACTACAATTATCCTATGTGCCGCAATTCAGTTATCAAGAAGACACCTTTGGAAAAAAAAAAAACAAACAAACAAGCAAACAAAAAAAAAAAAAAAAAAAAAAAAAAAAAAGAAAGCTTGCTTATTTTTGTATTGAACGTATGTTCCTGGTCTACTGGTCAAACCCCAAGCCAAGCCAGATGACTGTTGCTACATAAACTCCAGTGAACAATGCAAAGCAGTGTTGTTTGTCACCTTGGTAACTCAACAAACTCAGTGTTAACTGTACTTGTTTAAGCAACAGGTTAATTTAAAGGTTGCATTACAACTGTTTCAAGGACAACTCCTTGATTAGATATATTTAATAGTCTTTTCAATTTAAACCTCTACTAAACCCATCATTGAAGTAGCAAAGAAAACAATACAGTTGCAGTAAAATTGTAAAGCACACAATAGAATTACAAATTGTTGAGATGGCAATTTTAATTATTTTCTGATTACACTGTAAGCTCACAAATAAAGCAAGTTCCAACACCAGGGGTTTGTTAATTTGTGCTTACAATCTAGTTGATTCCAACACAGCTACAAAAGCAACATTGTGGTCTGTCTTCTGCATATAGCAAAACAAGCAGTGAAAAGCAGGTCCCCTCCATTACAGTGAGTATCACCAAATAATCAATTATGAGGACACATAGCATGAAATACTAGCAAATGCTGGTTGTGGAGAGTTAACTGCTATTCATTTCAGAAGAGTTAAACCCCAGGACTTTCTCAAAATGTCTCTAAACAGAGGTTTTCTGTAAAGCTATGAGGTGGCTTTGGACTAACACTACCTGGACATTTTCTACAATCTCCTGAACACGATTCAGCAAAGCTCTGTTCCGGGAGTTCCGTTTCCTGGTCTCTAGGTCCAATGCTTTCTCCTTGTATTGCTGTATTTCCTTTTTCTTTTCAAGGCTAAGCTGCAAAACAGAGCGTAAGAAATATGGTTTATATCACTAAATGCAAATTTCAATACAGAATTACAGAAGTAAATTAGAAAAAAAACCAAGATAACAAAACAATTAGAAGAATCACCTGAGACTTTGTGCACCTGTTAAATTCCAGTTTCTTGTCAACTAATTATATCTTTTTTAAAGGGAAGATGCACAAAATGCCTTCTTGGTACACATGCAAATGAACATGAATTTAAAATGTCCATTATAAAAAACTTCCATGAGCATTACATGCTACATTACCAATCTGACACAGAATTCAGACATTTTTTCTACCCAACTTTACAATATCCACCCATTTGTAAATTAAGAATATGACAATCTATCATTTAGTCTGCAATTTCTATCATGATTTTTGGACATCGTTGTTAGAGTCTCTCTCCATTCACACTTCCCACCACACAAACAAGAAGTCAGCTGCAGTATTGCAGGAACTACCAACAATCTTCAGCTTGGCTCTGTTTGCATTAGTACAGAATGACTTAACATAATTGATGAGCCTAAGAAATACGTTAGGGTAAGATGCAAACAACATGCAAAAAAAATTTACTTAAAGGCTTTTAAACCATCTCAGTATTTCCTGTTTTCACCTTTTTTTTGACACTGTTAAACTAACTCACACGTTCAGTATTTGAAATGTCACTATGATTTTAGGTAAAGTTAAGCCCAGCTATAACATTTGTCAGTTGAAAACCACAAACATTTGTGCTCTGCTTACGAAGATAACAAATCTCCAGAAATTGCAAGCAATGCAGTCAATGTGGGGAAAAGGGGAAAAGAAGTATATTTTACCCATTTACTTTTTAAGATTAAGGTTAGGAATGCTCAGAACACACTAAGCAGCAGGCCAGATGACAGCTCACCCAGATACCTTCAGCAGAATTATTACATGTGCACATCAAAGCTAGTGCCAACAGCAGAGTTAGGACACCAGGGAGGAAAGGGGGGGGGAAAAAGGCCTTACCAGAGGGGAAAGCACAGGGACTCCATAGAAATGAATGAGGGAGATATTTTTGTGCTGAACAGTAAAAGAAGTTTCTCCTTTTATTGCCTCTTCTTGGATTCTGGAAAGATGCTTCTTACAGAATATTTCATAGTCCTCCATCTTCATGTTAACTAAGCTGCAAAGAATAATAACATTATTCCTCCATATACCTCAAAGACCTTGAAGGGAAAACAACATCACAACTATTTCTGTATCACTCTGTTCCGGGAAACAAATTCTACACCAGAAAACCGAATCAGTTTCTCTTGTTCCTATCATTATGAAAAGCTGCAAAGCTGTTCCTTATTTTCCCCTATAAAACCAGAATCTGCATATATGACCAAAAAATGATGATCACAGGTACATGGAGAAGAAAGCAAGTGTTGAGATAACGAGGATTTACAGAACTACACCTGCTATAGATAATCTCAATTTCCATCGAAGACTAAACCTTTGAGATGTTCCACAACAATCGGACAGATCCCACATAAAAAACCAATAAATAAAATTGCAGCCGAATTGGAAAAAAAAAAAACCGAAAAAAAAAAGAGGAAAAAGGCGCTGGTATTAAAGAAAGAACAGCCTTTATGATTAAGGGGCTGAGAGGCATTTGTGTCTTACTCCCGTGAGTCTCCGTCCCGATACGGAGTATACATACGTCTGTATGAAGAGATGCCAATATTTCCATGGAAAAAAAAAAAAAAAACAAACCCAAAGATAAATTACAGCCTTGTTTCCCTAAAAGCGCCTACACATCTGACACCGTTCGCTCCCACCGGAGCGAAAACCCAGAGCCCAGCACCGCCTGGCAAGGCCTGACGGCGCTTTGTTCCCTCGCTCCGGCCCATTCCTGCCCGCCCGCCCCCAGACACGAGCCCGCCCCAGGCCGGGGCCGCTGCCTCGCCTCCTCCGCGCCCTCCCCGCCTCGCCGCCGTGCCCCCCGGCCCCGGCAAGCCCGGGCCCCGCTCGGTACCTGCTGCGGGGCTCGCTCCCGGCCGGCCCCGCTCCTTGCGGTGCTGCCCCCAGCGCTCCCGGCAACGCCGCCCGCCGCCCGGCGGCCGCGGCCCGCAGCGCTGCGAGCAGGCGAGCAACAGCGAGCACCGGCGAGCCCCGCCCCGCTCCGCCCTCGCTGCGCTGCCGCCTCCGCGCGCCCGCCACCCCGGGGACAAACCTCTCGGCTCGGCCTGCCGCCGTCTGCAGAGCCCTTCACACAGCAGAGCCCGCGGGGCAGTTCTGCAGCGCTTAGGCGAGCGCCCAGCAAAGGCAGCCCTGGCTCACAGGGATGAGAGGGGAGGGAGCGCCATCCTGCTGCTCTGATTTCCAACCATTTCCACTCGTAGCTCTCCCAGATGAGTTCCCTGTTAGCGCAGGTGAAGTCTGTTCTGCTTCATCACATTAAATATCACACAGCTGTGCAGCCCTTGTATAGTGCAGTCCTTCTATAGTCAGGACAACAAATGTGCCGCCACAGGTATCAGTTTCATGGAACGCGCTGTGATGAGGAAGATAAACATGAGCACCTGTTCACAGGTTCTGTCAGGACAGCATCCCGGAGTCATTCCAGACACCTTATCCCTCCCTCCCACCCGGCAGCCAGCCGCCAGTCCAGGAGCAGGTAACACTCACCCAACAGGCAGGTCAGGTGGAAGGAAAATCCACACTTGTTCGCCAGCACTTAGTCCAAGAAAAATAAATTTAAATTTATGGAAACGTCTAATTTCCAGTGAGTATTTAGAGCTGTTAAAGCTGTCGTTCTTGTTTCAAAAAACAACTTTGTCGTCTGCTACCTCTTCAATATGTTAATGATTGTTGAGGGTTTCTTTTTTTAAATCTTCATCTTTAATCTTAACAAATGCTGTTGTTTATCAAAAGATTTTTTTAAATATGTATGACATCTAATTAGACACTCCATTATTTGTGATGCATATGCATATATCTCTCTGATTTTTCTTCAGCTACACCTGGCAGAAGCACAAAACCACGAAGAGAATATCTGAGATGCTCAGAACCAGCATTCTCCCCCACAGACACACACACCAGGAAAAGGGTCAAAGTCCTCATGTTAATACAAATCTAATACAACCTATTTCCTCAGCTTTGCTATTCTGTCTCTAGAGCCTTCACTTCGCTGTTTTCCTTGCCTTGTTGCTCTTCCCTGTGGATTCCTTCCAGCTGTTGACACTCGTGTCAGGTGGTAAAGGTGACCTTCCCTGTCCAGCCTCTGTCCCGGCAGGAGGGCACTGCCTCCTCCTCCAGCGGCTCCCGGGCTCTGAGCCCTGGCTCTGGCCTGTGGGCAGATATACAATACATAACGCTGTATATAAAATCACAGCAATTAAGTGAAAAATAAACACTATTGATGCTACGTTTCTAATTAGCTAGCATAGCTGCGAAAGCCCTCACCGCTCCCCAGACACACAGCTGCTGTGCGACTCTCTCGACAGCAAAACTTCCCTCCCATTAACGCCATCTACAAACACACACCCCACTCGACCACCACCCCCTTTTTATCGGAAGCACCGCGCGTTTCCCAGCAGCGCCGCCGGGGCCGTCCCTGAGGGATGACCTGAGCTCCGCCCCCAGCGCGGGTGGGCGGCCGTTGGCGGGCGCTGCGGGCGCTGATTGGCTGCGGGCGCTGACGGCCGAGTGCTGATTGGCTGGTGCGGGCACGGGGGCGTTGCCGTCGCCTGTGTTCTGAGGAGAGGCGGCGGCCGCGGGTCCGGCCCCGATCCCGACCGATCCCGGCCCCGGCCCCGGCCCGGCCATGCTGTGCCACGGGGACGGCCTGCTGAGCTTCCTGACGGCGCTGCTGTGGTGGTGCTGGCGCTGAGCCGCAGCCCGACGCTGGCGTGCCTGCTGCCGGCCGGGCTGTACGTGGCGCTGCACCTCCTGTCGCTGGAGCCGCCGGCGCCCGAGCGCCCAGCGCGTCCTGCAGCCCCCGCGGCACCGCCGCCCGCGTCGCGCACCGCGGCGGCGCCCACGACGCGCCCGAGAACACGCTGGGGGCCATCAGACAGGTCAGCGCGCCCCGGGGGGCGGGCGGGGCCGGGGGCGGGGGTGGAGGTGAGAGGCGGAGCTGCCAAACGGTCCGCGGGGCCTCGCGGAGCCCACATGGCCTGGTGGGGGAGCGGTGAAACTGGGCAGCGATGAGATCTGGTGGGTTGTGTTCGATGATGCGACCTTCCTGCAGGGGCCAAGCCTCCCTCATCCTCAGTATTTCCCGCTGTTCTTCCAGCATCCGCAGGAAACTGTGTGGCTGGTCGGTCCTTCATCCCCAAGGGGATTCAGATAACATCTGACTCTTGTGGGAGCTGTTATAGCCTTGGTGCTGATGGATATTTCAACAGTACAGCAGTTATGAAATACTGTCTTTTGCTGATGTAGCAAGAGCACACAGAGAGAGGACAGCAACTCGGATAGGCTGTGCTTTTTAAACCTCGAAGATCTGTAATGAGAATCCAGAGTTCTGGGAAACTCTGATGCTGGGAGAACTTCACTGTGTGCAGCCCTGCCATGACTTACTGCTGCCCCACTGCAAGGCATCAAGGCACAGCCAGGGTTCACAGTGTTCCTGAGAGGGTTACCTCTAGTGCCTACCTGGCATTTGTCTTTCTGGCGCATTGTACCTTTTCCCAGGAGGGTGTTTGGCTTTCAGAACAATTGGTCTTGATTGCACTTCACTCGAGTGTTTTCCTGAGGAGTCCCTGGGAAAGAGCCAGGGCAGAAACAGGATATATGAAATGTTCTAAGGCAACCTGGCTGCTTCCTCCTCAGAGAGGAGTGTTTGCTGTTATCCTGTAGATTTTGTAAATTGTAGGCATTTACTTCCCTTCTTTTTTAGAAAATGACATAAGGACTCCAGGGTTATTACATCAGAAGGAGTGAGCAGGATTCTTTTCTGCATTTTTATCCTGAAACAGTCCAAATCCCAACATTATCACTATGGTTTTATCTCTAAAATAGATTATATTTCTATTGATCTATGAATGCTCTCACAATGGCTTGGATAAAACCTGCTTTGCTCCGCAGATGAAGCTTCCTGAAAATAACATTTTTTTTTCTCCAGAACATAAGCTAATTATAGCTGTGCCTATATCTTATATATAAAGCTGTCTCTTGTGTATATGATTTTTAAAATTTTTTTTTAAGGCAGCTGAGAATGGAGCAGCGGGTGTTGAGGTGGATGTTGAATTTACTGCAGATGGTGTTGCCATTCTAATGCACGATGATACAGTGGAAAGGACAACTGATGGGTCTGGAAGACTGTGTGACTTGACTTATGATGACATTAGGAAGCTTAATGCATCTGCCAAACACAGGCTACGGTAAATGATCTATTGCTATTCTGAAATTACAGTTTGAACAGTGAAAAATACCATTATTGAGAAACAGAATTATTAATTTAATCTATCACTGATGAAACTTTTTGTAAATTTAAAACTCAGTCCCATATGTTACTTTGATTACAGAAGCATATGAGACTGTATCTTCTTACCCATTGTTACAGTAGGAACAGTGAAGAAGTGTCAACTGGCTTTCAAGGACAAAATTCCAAGGCATCTAATGTGAAACAGGTCAATCTCTACAAAAGCTTGTCCTAAATTGACTGCAGGACACTAAAGATGTGGGGAGCTTCATGATATGTCAAAATTGGCTCAAGGAATTGCTTCAAAAATTAGTTTTATTTGCTTATATTTCTTAACTGATTGTGCCTTGGGGATTCTAAGCATCATGTTTATACTGTTGAAAAGGAGCTAGACAGATTTTAGGTGTCTCACTGTGACCCCCATGGCTGATTAGGTCCTTCCCAGGGGCATGCAGGGGAAAAGATTTTATACATTACTAAAAATTTGCTAACACTGCAACTTCTGCAGTATCGTAAGTGAATCCATTTCAGAGGAAGAACTTGTAGTGTGTGCTCCTGAGACACTGCATTAAGGAATTCCAGCCTCCTGTAAATGTGCCACCCATGGGTCCATGGTACAAGAGTATCTTCCCTGTTTCTGGAAAGGTGATCACCTGAGCCACACAGAGAGAACTTCCACACAGGCAGCAACTGCTGAGCAGCTGCTGTTCACTCTCACCGTGTCAGGAATCCTTTATTGATGGGTGAAGCTGATTGTGCTGCATCCTCAGCTTGTCTTGCCTGTTCTGCCAGGATCTCTGTTTCTGGCTCAGGGCTGGGGAGCACAGTCAGAGCAGGAGGAAGGCAGCAGTTGGGACTGAATGCTTGTTTGTGGGAGTTGGGGAAGGAGGTAAAGATACGTTTGGATGCAGAACATGGGGCTGGTGAGCATCAGATTAGAACTTGAATTTGGAAGGATTTAACTGTGGGATTAATCAGTGAGATTCTGAGGGAAAAGGAGATGTGTACATATCCCTCCACATGTGCAGTCTATTACTGGGTGAGAGAGACACTGCTGCCACTACTTGATCCCCGCTCTAGTGCTACTGTAGCAAACTGTGTTTAGGAAACAGCTCTGTGGTTGGGGGTATGTGTGCCTGTGTGCGTATGTGCACGTGTATCTTGACTGCATTCCAGTGAGTTGTCCATTTCTACAGGAGCAAATTCCCAGGTGAAAAGGTACCAACCCTGAGAGAAGGTGTTGTGGAGTCCATGCGTCACAACCTTACAATCTACTTTGACGTCAAAGGCCATGCAGATCAGGTACTGCTCACTTAGCAAGACACCTTCCCTCACACCTTCTGTGGGTTTCTAACCTGCTGTTGTGTTGGTCTCAAACTGATGTGTCTGGTACACACCCTTCTTGAATATGGCCGGGACTGGGCCTGCTGTTTGTGTCATCCAAAGTTGTTCTGGGAAGCTGCAACTTAAAATTAGCACAAGATGTGTGTGAGTGTTACATTCAACTCCCAGCACCACAGTGAAACAAAGCAAATTGAGTTTGCTGCCTGTGCTGGGGGGAGCCAGCACCTCATCCTCAGCCTTCAACAAGGGATCTGTAATTTGCATTACTGAAGGCAGATAGAGATGATCAGTCATTAACATTTTATGCAAATTAGAATGATTTTTTCTTTAGCATAGCAAAATATGGAAATACATTAATTTCCCTCTTGAACTAAACCCTGAGTAGTACATCAGAATTATATCCACATTATCTTTAAGGGTATTTCAAACACTGAGAATGCTGCTTCTTGTTGTAAACAGAATCACAAAGAGGACTTCTGTTGAAAAAAAAAATCAAAATGTCATTTCTGTGTTACTGCTATAAGCAAGATGCTATTTTTCTTCTTCCCCCTTTCTATTTCAATCTTGCTACACAAAACTGGAAAATGTTTTTAAAGGGCATTGTTCTAGAATGACTCTGCAGTGTAAATATGAGTGTATGTATAAATATAACATCTGTGTGTGTCTCTAATTGTAGGCAGTTGATGCCCTGAAACAACTCTACCTGGAATTTCCACAGTTGTATGACAGCAGCATAGTTTGTTCCTTCATGCCAGATGTTGTTTATAAGGTGATGTTTCCTAAAAGTTTATTTTGGATTTTTTTAGTCCTGCCTAGTAATTTCAGTGGGGTATAAAACTCCCAGTTCCAGGTTACTCTTGGGTCGTTAAAATTGCCAAGACTTTTAAAAGCAAATGAAGCATAATGCATAATCTTATTAGATCAGTCTACTCATTAAAGGCACATGTGAATCCACTGTAAGTCCCTCCATTCTGGAAGCAATACAGGAAAAAGTGTGTTGCCATTTCAGTTGGTGTATGGCCAGGTATCTGTGTGCAAGGTACCTGCTAAATAAACCTCTTATTTTGATGTAAACATAAACTGTTTCCTAATTGTCATTTCCACTGCTACTTACTATGTATTTTATTCCAGTATATACATTGCATGACTGCTGTGTAATTTTTTTTTAACATAAGAGCAGGTGCTTACTCAGTATGTTTAAAAAAAAAAAAAAACAATCTCATAAAGAGCTTTCCAAAATAGTTACAAAAGGACCTGGAGGGGAAGGGGAGAAGGATTCTGGTAGAGCTGCAAACGCAAACTAGCACTTTGTATCTCAAAAACTGTATTTAATGCAGCTGGGCTTGTGGATAAATTCCAGTCTTTTCTCCTTGGTCTTGCAGATGAGACGAGCTGACAGAAAGGTTGTGACAGCACTTACA